GGCCACAGCCTAGTTAGGAAAGCCCAACAATTCAAGACTATTCTCTGTGTCCAGCCTTACATTCTAATATGGACTAACCTGGGCCTTCAATAGTTCTGAGTGTCTAAGGTTTATCATTCAGATGCCGTTTCTAGCCAATCATTAACAGTTTCTTTTGTGCTGAAGTAATTATTATATTAAGGAGAGAAGATTAGGATGGGATACAAGGCCCATCCTACTAGAGGCTTATATAAGCTCATGGGACTTTAGGGCTAGGCGCTTTCTCTTGTGGAATGCTCGCTCTCCTGGGACACAGCATCCGCTACATCCAGCCTGGCCCATTGCTCATCAGTCTCTGCATCACCCGCCTGAATCATCCACAGTCTCCATCCAGCTGTGCCACAAATGACAGTCTAGGTTCCTGGCCCATTGCTCACCAGTTTCTGTAAAACCAGCCTGCATACTTCCTGTTGTTGTTGTTGTTATGTGCCATCGAGTCGCTTGTGATTCATAGTGATCCTATGTACAACAGCCCTAAACTCCGCTCTGTCCTGTGCCCATCACACTGTCTCTGACACTCCCATTCCAATTATCCCAGTCACTGACTCAATCCACCTCATAGAGGGCCTTCCTCTCCTGCGCTGTCCCTCCATCCTCCCAAGCATGATGTCCCTCTCTAAGGACCGGTCTCTCCTCACAACATGTCCAAAGTATGTTAGATGGAGCCTCAGAATCCTTGCCTCCAAGGAGCCACCCTGTTTAACCCTTTCCAGGACAAATCTGTTTGTTTTCCTAGCAGTCCATGGTATTCTCAATACTCTTCTCCAGCACCACAGCTCAAAGGCGTCAATTCTCCTTCTATCCTCCTTGGTCATTGTCCAACTCTCTGATGCATAACAAGCGATTGCGAAGACCACGGCCTGTATCAGACGCACCTTAGTCTTCAGAGAGACACCATTGCTCTTCAGTACTTTGGAGAGGTCCCTAACAGCAGACTTTCCCATGGCAATGTGCCTTTTAATTTCCTGGCTGCTGGTGCCAAGACTCTTGACTGTGGAGACAAGCAAACTAAAGCTGTGTACAATCTCAATCTCTTCACCATCCATCCTGATGCTGCCAGTTGGTTCAGTGGTGAGAATCTTTGTCCTCTTGACATTGAGCCTCAATCCATATTGTAGACTGCAGCCCTTGACCCTCTGCAGCAGGCGCTTCAGGTACTCTTCAGTTTCAGCAAGCAGGGTTGTGTCATCCGCGTAACGCAGATTGTTGATAAATCGTCCACCAATCTTGACCCCACATTTCTCCTCATAGAGCCCAGCCTCCCGGATAATCTGTTCTGCATATAGGTTGAAAAGGTATGGAGATAGGATGCATCCCTGGCGTACGCCCTTCCCAATTTTGAACCATGCAGTGTTCCCTTGCTCTGTTCTGACGACTGCCTCCTGGTCCAAGTATAAGTTTCGCATTAGAACGATCAAGTGTTCTGGGATTCCCATTCTTCTCAGAGTCAGACACAGTTTGTTATGATCTACACAGTCAAATGCCTTTGGATAGTCAATGAAACACAGATAGACATTCCTCTGGTATTCCCTGCTTTCAGCCAAGATCCATCTAACATGAACTACAATATCCCTAGTACCACGACCCCTTCTAAACCCAGCCTGGACTTCTAGTAGTTCTCTGTTGATGTGCTGTTCCAGTTGTTTTTGGATAATCTTCAGTAAAATCTTACTTGCCTGTGAAATCAGTGAAATTGTTCTGTAGTTTCCACATTCTGTTGAGTCACCTTTCTTTGGGATAGGAACAAATATCGATCTCTTCCAGTCAGTTGGCCAAGTGGTTGTTCTTCAGATTTCTTGGCACAACTTGGTGAGCACGTCCAGGGCAGCATCTGTTAACTGAAATATGTCAATTGGTATACCATCTATTCCTGGAGCCTTATTTTTTGCCATTTCCTTCAAAGCAACCTGAACTTCTTCTTTCATCACCATAGGCTCTTGCTCATATGTTGTTTCATGAAATTCTTCTGTGTCTTCCAATTCCTTTCGATACAGTGACTCAGTGTATTCCTTCCATCTCAATACTTCCTGGATCATTTAACATTCTGCCGAAAGCATCCTTGATTATAGCAACTCGAGGTTTGAATTTGTTCTTCAGTTCCTTGAGCTTAAGATATGCTGAGCGAGTTCGGCCCTTTTGATTTTCTGACTCCAACTCCTTGCACATTTCATTGTAATATTTTGCTTTGTCATCCCGTGCTGCCTTTTGAAATCTTCTATTCAACTCTTTAGTATCTTGAATTCTTCCTTGTGCTTTGGCTTCTCTGCACTCCAGTGCAATTTTCATTCCTGCATACTTACAGTCATGTAAATCATTCCCCTGATGGGTCTGAGTCTCTGAGAGACCTTGTGAACCATCACACCCAAGGGACATAGAGGAGCTAGGGAACTGAACAAGGGAGGAGACTGGAAATGATGGGCTTATCCAGCAAATCAAGAATTTGGGACAATAGTGACGTGATACCTCTTATAACTGCTCTGCTACTAATCTTAGCAGAACAAATTATAAAAACATTAGTGAAAAGCAGACCATAGCTTCAAATTCATTTATTCAGATTCAACTTCTTACTGAGAATTCACTTAGCCTCCCTGTCCCCTGCACACACACCCCACTATCTAAATTCCCAAACCACTGCCTTTCAATGGATCTGACTCATAGAAGCCCCATAGTATGGAGTAGACCTGTTCCATAGGATTTCTAAGGCTATACATCTTTATAAAAGCAGATTGTTGGATTTTTCCCCCTAGTGAATGTCTAGTGAGCTGACATGACTAACCTTTAGTTTAGTAACCCAATATTTTAACTTCTGTGTCACCAGGGTATCTATTTCCACCTCAAATATACTGAATCAGAATCTACATGTTTTAAGAAGATCTTCATCCTTTTCACAATATGATTTCTTATGTATAAGGATCCGTAAGAACCGCTTGGAAGTTTCCAAATTGAATAGGAGATCTTTCAGCAAAAGCGACATGCTTGTTTGGTTTGATAAGGATGAGCAAATCAGAAATTAGCTATCTAAAACAGGGCTATTAAGGCAAGAGGCATGAAATAGTAGGCCTGCTTGCTTTTAAGAAAGACGTTATCAGTAAGATGATTTTAAGAGTGGGAACCCCACAATATACATGAACATAATATAATGTAAGTTAAAGATTGTATAAAACACAATGTACATGCATGAAACACATTGTATATGAGTGATTGCATGCAAACCAATAAAAACATTTAGAACCACTTGGGATCTTATTAAACTGTTGATCTTTATTCAGTCTATCTAGGATGGAAATGCAAATTCTCAACAGGGAGTCAAACCATTTCATTTCCTGGAGCAGATCATAATAAAGGCTATAGCTTTATTCCAAGTTCAGGTAAAGACTCCTTTGACACACACCCTCCTCCCCACCACTAACAAATGTGATTGAAGCCTTCCCCTTGGACTTGAGAATCTAACATGTGCTATTTGAGACTTGAATGAGACTGTCCCTCATCCTCAGCTCAGATATCCCCAAGACCTGGTAACCTTGCTAATAATTCACCCCAGCTCTGGGCCTTGTGCACTTGTGGGTCTCTCAGGCCTGATGGACACCGGTCTGGAAGAGCTCTGATCACAGTGAATTGCAATGATGTGTTTATGTATTGGTTCTTCCAACTAATCTGGGAAGTTCTTGAAAACAGAAACTATGCTTAACTCAATTTACATGACCAGTGACTGGTCCAAAGAAGCACTAGTTCAGTGTTAAAATTGGAGGTTCAAGCCTATCAACTGCTTCACAAGAAAAAAATAAAAGACTGTTTGCTCTAGTAAAGATTCACAGTCTCCATAACCTAGTGGATAGTTTTACTCTGTCCCATAGGGATGCTGTGAATTGGACTTGAGTCCATGGCTCTAGGTTTTTGGGTACAGAAGAAACTAATGTGTGAGAGGGAAGAAGGCAGTGAGGTGACAGTCCTGTTCCCCAGCCAACATCAAGCTGCCTGGGAATAGAGACTCCACTTCCACTCCTGCCCCTCCTCTTCTTTTTTTAGGGAAAACTGGCCCAAGTTTGAGCTTAGGGTGGATGTTCAGATCGGTGATGGCTCTCTTTAAAAGTCAATACACTTTTCAGGGCTTCTATTTAAGTATCTTTATTTATCTCAGATATCTGTTCACAAAATACTTCTGAATACTTGGGTTAGCATTTTTTCTATTGTATTAAACAAAACAGTTGTTAAGTTCTTAAAAATTCAAAGTGCAAACATGCAAATACAATGTAAGCTAAAATTAAAAAGCCCTTGCATACAAATACTTTCTGAAAAGACACTTTAATACAGAGCACAGAAAAGAGAGTCTAGCAGAAGAGGATTGAATTAACTTCCACCCCTCTCCACTGAAGCCCTGGTCCTTGAGGCTAGACACCAGCACCTCCTTTGTCCCCTGTAATTCTTAGGGACATATGTCCTCAATCTCTTGTGGGGAGAAACAGAAGTCTCGTAAAGTCAGGATGAGCTCCATCCTGCCTGCAACAGGGAAGGCCATCCTACCAGATCCCAGCTCTCTGTGGTCACATGGCTCAGCCTTGTTCACATGCAGTGCCCACCTCTCTGCTAGCATCTTGAGCTGCTTTCACTCTCCAAGGCTCCCAATTGTTACAGTAAATCAGCCCCCCAGACAGCTCGTCGGCTGCTGGTCCTAAGGGCTTCCAGAGAACTCTTCAGAGTTCTCAGGACTTCCTAACCCTCTCAGTTCACATTTAAGAAGGTTCCATCAGTTCCTGTATGACCTCTGCTATTATGCTCACCATCTGTGGTCAGTGTGCAGAAGGGCAAGTTGAGGGTGGGAAGCAGGCATGATTCCTCAGGCTTACTTGTAGTCAGCAAAAAGTCAGCCAGATCAAAATCTGTGGATATCCAGCTAAAGCTTTAACCTTTGGGCTGCCCAGACAGGCAGGTAAACAGGGTCTAGCCATCAAGCACTCAGTCCCTTAAGAGCGCAGGTGCACCTGGAAGTGTTCACAGCGGGCATGCTTTATGGTCAGCCCATAGATGGGGGACATGTCCACCTTCATGTCTGGTGGCACACTAAACTCCAGCTGATGCAGCAGGGTGGCCAGGAAGAGGAAGACTTCCAAGCGGGCAATGGTTTCCCCAATACACTTCCGCTTGCCAAGGCCGAAGATCATCACCCTTTCACTTAGTGTCTTGTTGATGGTGCCATCAGTGGTGAGAAACCTTTCTGGCCGAAACTCAGACGGATCACCCCACAACTTCCTGTAATGAGAATGAGGTAGCTGATATGGCAGCTTGGGGGCAAGAGGGACAGGAGGGTTTGAAGACTGGAAGCAGGTGAGCCCAGCCCATCCTCCCAACTTACTGATCATGGTTGATCTGCCATTGGTTCACAAAGATACACTGACCCTTGGGGATGTAAAAGCCATTTAGACTTGTGTGTCTCGTGGTGCTGCGCAAGGAAAGAAGCTTGATCAGGCTCAAGACCACAAAGATTTCCCCTCTGGCTCCCATGCCATGTCCCATCCATGAGCCTTGAGTCAGGTCATGGACTGGGGAAAGGCACAGCATCAGACAACAGGGGCCTTACCTGTGGGGGATGGTGAAGGGGAGGAAAGACGAGTGCCTAAAAGTCTCCAAGATGAAAGCTTCCAGATAGGGAAGCTGGAGCCTGTCAGAAAGTTGGGGCATCCGTGCCCCGCCAATCACTGTGTCTGCAGAAAGAAAAGAGGCAAAGGGGACTTAGGGGCTGTGCAGACCTTGGCCAGGCCCCCTGTCTCGAGCTCTCTGAAGGGGTTATCACCTACCCAGCTCCTCCTGGATCCTTCTCTGCACCCTAGGGTTCGTCACCACATACATGAGGCTCCAGGAGATGGCAGTTGTGACTGTGTCAAACCCTGGACATAATAGACAAAGGGAGAAGTTACTCATGTGGCAAGTCAGGGAAGCTGGATACAGGAGAACACAGTAGGGTGGTTCATACCAGCTCCAAAGAGATCCATGACAATGGTAATGATCTTCCTGTCTGAGAGTTGGATATTTGCATTCTCATCCCGCTTCTTTTCCTGACAATGCTCAATTAGGCTATCTGTGATATCCCGGATGTAGCCCTGGGTCAGGAAGACGCATAGGTAAGCAAAACCTCAAATGCACACCTACTGCTCCACCTAGGCCTGGCCCCTCACCATCCCTAGTGCCTTTGTAAAAGTTCCCCTTGGGAACTGCCATCAGCTACTCTCTGCTTTCCCAAGACTCTCTCCTGCCAGAGAACACCCCCACTGCCAACTCAGGAGGCACCTGGCACACATCAACTGGTACCATTTTCATCTTTCTGTGCTTTTAATTACTTCTTTCCCAGACACCAGGAGACAAAAATCTTTAACTCTCCTTATCGTCACACAGTCAGCCCACAAATCTGCCCAGAGTGGCTATTAAGAGAATATTGCTAAGTGATAGATGGATGGAAGGGCTCGGGTCAAGAAAACATTCTATATCCCAGCAAGCATGGAGTCAGCATCACCAGTCGCTTCTAAGAGCCAATCCAACCCCTTGCTGATCCTATTTCTGACCTTCTGGTCCCTGTGCTTACCCTCAGCAGCCCCTGAGTCTCTTCCCAGCTCGTACCTTTTCAAATTTTTTGTAGTGCTCTTCAACTATCTTCTGTATGAAAGTAGAGAACCTTTCATTCAGTTCTTTGAAGGTATTCAGACTGGTATTGGGCAGATAGCGAAGGATGGGAATGAAATCCACCACATTCCCAGAGGCAGCCACGTCCCCAAACTCATTATTTAAGTTGATTATGCTCAGCAACTCTTGATGGTCATGGTCATAGCGTTGGCCAAAACACATGGCAGAGATGACATTGGCTACTGACACCACTATGTACCTATAGGGGTCAAAGTGCCCAACGGTTGCCATCAACTCCTGAAACTTGTGGATAAGGTACTCAGCCTCCTTCCTCACGTGCTCCTCCAGGTAGCAGGAGGATGAGGAAGCTGGGTCCGAAGCCAAAGAGAAGCTCTTCAGGGCATTCTGAGCCAGACGCCGGCGGGCAGCCCACACAGGGCCAGAGTCAGGGTTGAAGGTCATGCTCTCTCCGTTACCAATCAGGGTGAAGCTGTAGAGGTCAGGCCGGCCCTTGAAGTCATCGCCCTGCCGCACCAGGGCCTGCCGGATGGTGTCCAGGCCACTCAGTACCACCACGGGCGTGCAGCCGATGCGCACCTGCAGCACATCCCCGTACTGCTGGCTCAGCCTGGTCAGTGCCAGGTGTGGGTTTTTCCCCAGGGTCAGCACATGTCCGATCAGGGGCAAGCCCCAGGGCCCTGGGGGACTCTTTAGGTCTTTGGGGACCTGTGATTTCCAGGCCCTGACCACCCAGAATATGAGGCAGAAGATGGAGGCAGCCAGAAGGAGCTCAGTGGCTGAGATGGGGAGTCCAAATGCAGATAGCATGATCAGTTGGTGATCTTGATTTGAGGTGGCTGCCAAGAGATAGAACAGGAGGCAAAGAGTGAGCTGTCAGACTGAGGCTGGGAAGAATCTACAGCCTAAAGTGTCAGTCTGTTGGTCAAAGAAGAAGGAAACCTCATTCAAAGCTGGCCCCTGTGAATGAAGAAGATGGAGAGAAGCTGTTTGGCTTCCACTGAATGCCAAGGACTTCATCGAAGAATAGGTTCCTTCAGTCCTGTCCACAAGCCTGTGGCTCAGACTGCAGTGAGGTGCAAAGAGATAGCTAATGTCAACAAGTGTTGAATTTAAGTCTAAAGTCAACCTAACTTGACTAATCCCAGAACACCCCTCTTAACTACTGCATGATTCTTTTTTTTTCCCCAAAAAAAGAATTTGAAATGTCAGTGTGGTGTCTATATAACACACCTTCTATTAGCAAATCCACCAGCTGATCCAAGGGAGTAAGCAATCTCCTCCCATGCAATTTACAACCTCTGAAAACCCCCTGGAGGGGCAGCTATGAATCAGTAGGTTCTGACTCAACAGAACACAGTAACAACATTATTTATTTCAGAGGTTTTTAAAAATCAAATTTGAATCCATCTTAGGATCATCCTAAATAAACAATAATATCTAGGTGAAAGTACATCATCTATATGTATCACAAAAAACTCCTTGAAATAGCACCATACCTGGGAAATCATCTGCTCCATTAACCTCATTTTACATTTGGGGAAATTGAGGAGGCACTGATTCACCTAATGTCATCTATCAGCCAGTGACTAAGCTACGGCTGGGTTCATGTGATCAATGGAGGAGCTGTACTAGAAACCTCAGTTCTCCACTGCTCAATCCCAGGTTCTGGGAAACGACACAAGTCTCTCAGAGTGGAGAGTGGAGGCAAGGAGCGTCATTGCACATGTTTCATTGCTCTCAGTCCCAGGTATATAAGTCTCCAAGCTCAGCTATCCTACAGTTTAAAAGTAACTGGCACTAGCTAGATCTGGGCTGCTGGTCACAGAAATCCAGGACAGGGTTTTTGATGTGCTCAATTCTCAATGAATGAATAGTCAGGGCTCCCCCCACTTGTCTGTCATCAAAGCCAACAGAATAAATGGAAAACTTTCACTAACCAGAGCTGCAAGGAAAGTATAGACTGGAATTCTGAAAATCAGGAATGGATCTGGATTTAACAAGAAAGAGCAGAGGTAATTCCCTCTCTCTAGGCTTATCTATCTAGGCAATCTATAACAAAAGTGTGCACATTCATGGATCACTCTATCCCAAGATATCAGTTGTGAATGAGGATTTTTCTGGTGCCTGGTGCTCTAGGCTCCATGTGGAGAACAGTGTTCTCCTGAGCGACTTAATGCTTCTGAACACCTACCAAGGGTCAGCTATGGATCAGTTTCTACCCAATGGTAGTCAACAACTATTCATATTACCCAAGAAAGACTTTAGAATAAGATCAGCCTACCTGGAACCTAAAGAAGAGATGAAGTAGATTTGCTCTGGGGAGGTTCCCTTCACAAAGAACCACCTACAACAGGCTATCCCATGGGGACTGCATAGTTCCTACCACAAAGACTATTCACTTGCTCAGTGCTGTTGATCTGGTTCTGACTTACATGACCCTTCTCTGGGTTTCCCCAGCTGTAAACTTTAATGGGAGGATGCTGCCCACCCTTCTCCCACGAGCAGCTGGTAGATTTGAACCGCTGTAAACACATCCTTTTGATTAGTGGTGAAACACACTAAAGACTACACTATCAGAATCCCTTTTGTACTTTATAGTCTAGGGGGGCTTCCTGGAAGAGGTGATTAGAAAAGAACAGTCAAGACTCAGCTTGTTGAGTAAATGAGAGACCTCATCAGGCCCTGGAGTGCAGGAACTCTTCTCTGCAGTGGGAAGCCCAAAGATCTCCATACTTAGTCAGATGTTAGGAGGCTGAGGAGATGGGGCTGACTTGTGAATTCTTGGGATCATTTTTCTGTTCCAACTCCCTGCAGCTAGTGATCTCATATACTGACTGCTCCACCCAAGAGGGAAGGGAGTATAGTCAAGTGGGCTAGGACAGCCCCTTGGACAATGCCAGGACATCGCTTCAGATCAGCCCCTCTCGTGCAAGACAGCATATCTTACTGGGAGAGTCGCCCCAGCTTACGGTAGCTTTTAGATAGGGCAGGGTGTAGCAGGTCAGAACTTAGCCTACCTCCTCTAACCACCCTCACCACCCAAGGAGAAGACCCCTCATCACACAGCCCGAGAAAGAAGGCTGCATATACTCCCAGCTTCCCTTAGCTCTCTCCTTACTCTGGCCTCCCAGCCATCTTTGATGGGGAAAGTCCAAGGCTAGGGTATCAGTAGATGGTGGGGCTGGACCCTGAGGAGGACCACCTCAAAGACTGATGCTAGCTTTGGGACTTTTGCCAAGCCCTACTCTTTCTCTGGCCTCAATTTCCCCAAGCAGGAGATTTGACCACCTGGCTTCTTGAGCCCTGCTTAAGGCTTCTTTCTCAGAGGTGCTGCCTAGGAAGACCTGAAGAAGCCGAGATTTTCTTCTCAGGCCAGGAAAGAAGACAGCCAAAAGCCTCCAACACTCACCTGAGTCTTCAAGGAGGCGTTGAACTGCGATGGGAAGAGGAACCTCTGGAGCCTGGGACCCCAAAGATGAGCAGAGAAGTTTCCAAGAAACTGTTACTTTCAGGGTGCAGACCCAGCCACCTTTATAGGCAGCTGTGTGGCCACGCCTCCTTCCCTGGGATTGTGGATGGGACTGGGGGAGGGGCAGTTTACGGGGCTGCTGATAGCTCTAAAAAAGGAGCAGAGACCCGGAAACCCGCTACACCATGACACATCTCACCTATATGGACATATAAGGGATAAAGGACGGGGACACTCTGGAGTTGGAACAGCGCATGCCGAAGAAGTCCTGAGACTGGAGAAAGGACATTGTTGCACCCTGCGGAACCCTGGACGTGCAAAGCTACAGGGGACTTGATGCCAGAAGCGGGGCTGGATGACCGTTTTCCCCGAGTTTCTGAGTCCCAGCTTGCGTGAGAAGCGTGGCGACCCCCACCCGAGGTCGCGGAGGCCGGAAGGCCAGAGGCGCCGGGGGACTGTCCCCCGGAGCCCGGCGCCTGGGAGGAGTTCACGCTCCTGGACGGCGGAGTCCCAGTGTGCGCTCAGCGCCGCTTCTGCAGGCACCTCCACCAGGGAACCACTGGCTTTCGGGTTTCCTTTTGGTGTAGGGACTTTCTAGGTCTTTGGAGGGACAGAGATATCGCTAGTTGGGGTGGACGGGAAAAGGTTAGAGCAAGGGAAGGAGCCCCAGCAGGGAGTGAGGGGGCGCATTTCGACGATCCCACCCAGGCTAGGATCCCACCCCAGAGTCGCGTGCGTACTTGTGTGTGCTTCTGCCACAGCCACATCCCTCCAGGGGCAGAGGTCAAACGGCCCATCCCAGCCCCACCTGGAGGGGGGCGCGGTGCTGGTGCCGGGGAGTTGCGTGAGAAAGGCCCGGAGGGCCGCCCAACTCTCGGCCCCCACGGGTCCCAGCACAGTCACGCGACGCGGGTAGGGCGGCCGGGGCGGGGCTCATAGAGAGCAAGCCTCGGGGCCGCGGGGTGGAGGGGCACCCCCCAGCAGAGCCGCTGCGAGGCGCTCTTGGATGGGGGAAGGGGAGGTGCAAAGGGCCCAGGCTTGCGTGCAGAGCAGGCACGCGGGTGCTGCTTTTTTGGCCTGTGACAGGACACGCAGTCCTAGCACCACCCGGCACGCCTGGCTAGGAGACTCGCGTGCTGTCCTCGCTCCACTTGGTCGCTCAAGTAAGGCATTCCCAAGAAGAAATAGCATAGTTCGTGTTTATGTCAACCTGTCTCCAACTAACATCATCAGCCGCTCCCCAAACTCCCCCACTCCGTTCTCTATGCCAGCCAGTGTCCCTGGCCAGAAAACAGAGCCTCAGATGTCACCTCTTCCATTGCACAAGTATTTGCCAAGCACCTACTGTGTGCCAAGAACAGTCCTGGGCATTGGCGATGGATGTAGACAGGAAATAAAGGGCCAGGGCTCTTACATTCTAGTAGGGGGAAAGAAATCATACTCCTCAAAATGGAGAGAATAGCAGAAGGTGGGAAGTATTGAAGAGAAAAATAAATCAGAACACGGGGGCGGGGGAGTGGGAAGTAGAAGCTGTTGGAATTGAAAATGTAGAGGAGCAATTTTCCATGGTGTCTGGGAAACAGTGGCTGTTAGTACCTGAGAGGATGAGGTGCCTATAGGGACAACCCTGTGTAATGTGCAGGTAACAGCATCCACCAAGAAACAGAACACTGTCTGTGTGATACGGAGATGTTGGTGGGCTCTCAATGTAGCAAGACCACTCTGGAATAATGGGATGCAATCAGTTTCTCCCTCTGATGTCTTCCTAATCCCACTGGCACATCACTTAACAGATATTCAAAGGGGGTTCTCTCCTTGTCTTCACCCCTTCTAAATCCTACAACCTGTAGTGCCCAGAAGACAAAACTTATTCTGTCACCACTTTACATCAACTCCTTCCATAGTACCTCCTGCTCTGAAAGTAGAAACCAGAATCCTTAGCAGCTCCTGTCAGGGCTGCCCAGCTCTCCTCCTAAAGCCCTTACTTTAATCCTCAGCTAAAACACCACCTTCCTCCTGGAAACCTGCCTGGACTCCACCACAGCAGATTAAGTTTCTTCTGCTCTATGTTTTCAGCACTTCTCATATTCTTCATACGCCTGACCCCGGCCCTGACCTCAGTCCAACCCGCCACTCCTTTCTCAATGCCCCTGTGCAGAAAACCAACCTGTGGGAAGTTGATATGATAAAGCAGGTCCCTTTAATATTAATAACTGATAAAGGAGTTCAGCACAGCTATCTTATAGATGGGGCACCTGGCAATGTGATGTCGAGCCTAAAGTACTGGTGTGGTAGTGGGTGTGTTTTCGGCAATAGAGTAGTCAGGGATGAGAGTTAG